CCTCCAAGCTGTTGAAGCTTGCACCAAGCCTATAAAGACCAGTGAGGTTTCCGATGGAAGAGGGGATGAATCCTGATAAGTTGGTGGAACTCAGATGTAGCCTCTTCAATTGTATAAGCTTCCCTATGGTCTCAGGAATGGCCCCAGTGAGCAAGTTGCCAGCAAGAATAAGCACCTCAAGACCTATCAAATTTCCAATATCTGATGGAATAGTACCAGATATATTGTTGTTAAAAATATCTAGCTCTTGGATGTTTGTGGACAAGTTAGACAATGAGGTTGGTAATTGCCCCGAGAACCTGTTCCGTTCTATATTTATCTGTTGCAACCTGCTACAGTTTGTCAAAGAAGTAAGGAATTGCCATTCTTGCTCATTGTTTGCCTCAAACTTGTTTCCAACCAGATTAAACCTTCTAAGATACTGCAATTTTCCCAAGTCTGAAGGGACAACCCCACTGAATCCGTTATTTGCAACATCAAAAAGCTGGAGTCTGGAGATATTAGTCAGTGATGGAGGCACAACTCCAGTGAATCGGTTATTCCCAAATCCAAACTGCTGTATGCTAGGAAGGCTTCTTCCCAGATGAGCTGGTAGACGGCCATGCAGGTAGTTGTCCGTCACAAAAAACATGTACAGAGATGACTGGTTGTACAGCGAAAGAGGAAGCAAACCTGAGAGGTTGTTCATGGCCAGCTGAAGGAACCCGAGATGTGCATTGTTCCCAATGCTCTCGGGGATTGATCCCTCGAGATGGTTAGCTGCCAGGGACAAGATGGTCACCTGTGAGAGGTTCCCAAGTGATGAGGGGATGGTCCCAGTGAGGCTGTTGTTGTATAGGTGTACAACACGTAGCGATTGCATGTTGCCGATCTCAGAAGGTATGCTTCCTTGCAACCCCTTGTTGTCAGCAATTATCATCACCCTGAGGTTGGTGCAGCGGCTAATGTTGCTTGGGATCGCACCAAGGTACTTGAGACGGCGGAGGGAGCCAATGCTGGGAGGAATCTTGCCGTGCAAGGGATTGAAGCTCAAGTTGAGCGTGCGGAGGAACGTGAGGTTGCCGATGGCGGGGGAGATAGTGCCGGAGATCCCCTGAGAGTTTAGGTCCAGAGCAACCACCCTCGACCGATGTCTCCGGCTGCACGTGACGCCCTCCCAGGCACAGTAGCTGATGCTCCGGTACCAGGAGGCCAGCACCCCGGAATGGTCTGAAATCCTTTCCTTGAAAGCCGTGAGAGCTCCCTCGTCGTCGTCGTGTGCGTGCATGACCCCCATGGTGGAGAGTAGGAGAAGCACAAGACATCTGATTCCGAAGAGGCGCCGTGGCAGCGGTGTACCCCTCCGCCACATGGTTTGCTGCATCGGGCTGGTTATTTGGGTGGTTCTTTTCTCTCTCTCCTCGGTATGGATCATTGGAGCTACAAGCTCTTTCTTTCTGATACAGAATTTGGATGATGCCGGCGAGCCTTTTGCCGGATTAAATTAGTACCGGTACCATTATTCATGTTAGTGACCTAGGACTGAATCTGACCACTTCTGCACCTGTGCCGAAACTGACTTGCTCTCCCTGATTAAATGCTCCTGAGCTGCACCTGCCCCCCATGATGTAGTCCAGGAGGCCCCAGTGATTTATCAAGGCGCGGTGCAATGAATGAAACAATCGGGTCCATCTGTTTGATGGAACCAATTAGCATTAGTTCTTCTATGTTTTTATTACTCCCTTCGATCCATATTAATTGACTTTGGGATGCAAAGCAGGTCCCGTTTAAACCCACTTATGGTCTTAACAGTTCAATAATTTGTTTTTTTTTTCCAGGGAGAATGAACTATCAAGCTAGATAAAGCTAACTAAACGGGACTTGTGGACGCTGTTTATTTGCCATTTACATCCCGCTGTGCAAGCTTCCCTATGCTCTCATGAATTATCCCATTGAGCAAGTTGCGACCAAGAACAAGCACCTCCAGGCCTATCAAGTTTCCGATATCCGATGGGATAGTGCCAGATATATTGTTGGCAAAAATATTTAGCTCTTGTATGTTTCTGGACAAATTAGACAATGAGGTTGGCAATTGCCCCGAAAAACCTGTTCTGTTCTATTGACATCAGTTGCAACCTGCTACAGGAATTGCCATTTTTGTTCATTGTTTTGCCTGATGGGAACAATCAAAACTGCCTGATGAGAACCAATGATAAGTTTTTCTATTCCTTATGTAGGAAGAAAACAGAAGTTCAGGGTGAAGAAGGAAAGAACAGGTGGCTGTTTTGTGGCGTGTGTTGGATCTTTTTAAGGAAAAGGGAAGTTGAGTGCTCATTCACCCCCTTTGATCAGCACTGTGACTGAGCCAACAAAAACAACTTTTGAAGATTAGCAGCACAGGCAGTTCCAGCACAACACTGAGACCAACTTCAGCAAATGAAGAAGGTCAAGGAAAAGGGAAGTTGGGTGATTATTCCCTGAACCTGCAGCAAGAAGCTGAGCCCACAAGGTGGGACACTGGGACAGTGCTTCAACAGAGAGCGCTGGAAATGCAACAAAAGCAGCTTAGCCAACAAAGTGGACTGGAAATTCGACAGAATTAACTTTGAAGAAGTGAGCCAGCAAAGAGAAGAAGCGCATGTTTTTTTTATGTTATATCATTAGCAACTTTTTTTTTACTTCATTATCATGTACGGAACTCAATTTTGTTCCTATTTATTAGCTGGCAGTGTGCTGGCCACTTTTCCAATGTTTTTTTTTTCTGTTGGGTTAATAACCGTGGAGCTTTTCCCCTGGACCAGTTTAATTGTATTTCGGAAAATGCTGCATGGGTATACACTTTTTGATGTAAAAAATAGAGAATACAAGTATACTGGAAAAACAACTTAACAAAGTTTCTCAGGTATTCCCTAAAAACATTTCTCGGATACTTACCAAAAAAGAAAATTCCATCTTCTTTGCGGAAGAAAACGAAATTAATTCGAAATCATAGGGAATAAAAACGAAAAGCCTTTTTTTATGCAAAGAAAAAAAGAGAGAGCAGATTTTTGCAACGAAAAAGGAAAGAAAAGACATACGAAACAGGTACTTCTCATATGGGCTGGCTGAGCTCTGTCTACGTATCTCACTCAGATGGGCCGCGCTGTGTCTATTCTCCAGCCCAACCGCATGGGCCAACGACCCCACGAGCCTGCGACCGAGAGGAGGCGCTGCGCTCAGGGCCGGTCCTGACTTTTCAGAGGCCCGGGGCGAACTTAAAAAGTGGGCCTAATATAGTGAAAAATATATATTACATCGATGCATAGCACAATCGGTGCAAAAAAAAGATACAAAGCACAACATTTTTATGCCTAAAAAACATCCTTTTTTCATTACTAAATAAAATATATTGGATCTAACTTATCTGCTAGCATTTTCTTTCTTCTTTCTCAAAATCATGTTTTTAGCCAACATTTTACAAGAAAGGAGTCGAAATACCTGAATTTGTCTGATGAAAAATAGAAAAAATCCAGCTATCCAATCCCAAGCATATCAGGTCTTCCTAGGGTCCTCGTATCCTCAAATGAACAACCCCGTACAGAAATAGAAGATCAGTCAGGGAATCGCTGAAAAACAAAGAAAAACAGTACAAAAATCAAGCGGAAAAGGACTATGAAATCACAAGAACTTTGTAGGCCTTTGACCCAAGAAAATGTCCTGCTGCAACTTGCAAAGTAACTGAGCTTATGAAGTGTTGTCTCTGCCTGTGGCCGTCCGCTAGATGAGAATAGTTATAGGCAAATTCATAGAGGAGTGAGATGGAGAAACTGAAAGGGTATCAAAGGAATCAAGTATAGCAGCAATATCCATTAATTTGCTAGGCATGCTGCATGCTTCGGGAGTAGGAGCAGAATGGGGAACGAGGATACAGGAATAAGAAACGACGGCGGCTGGTGTTATGAGATGGATCGATTGAAACGAGACTGGGATTGTGCCTTTCACAATTCAAGTAACCTACTAGTTTTTTTAACAGTACGTGCGCTACATGCTTTAAGGCCCGTCTTGTTCGGTTGTGTAGTATATATATGCACAGGGTCGGGGCCCCCAATCGGGCTGGGCCCTAGGGCGTCGCCCTTCTTGCCCCTACCCAGGGCCGGCCCTGGCTGCGCTGCTGCGCGCCCCCCTACATTAGTCCCACCTTGCTAGTTCGCGGGGAGCGGCACCAGTTTATAAGGCGAGGCGCTGCAGCTTGTAGCACGACCTTACTTGAACAAGATCTGTTCTATAGGCTCGTACCGCTGCATCCTTTACCAATAAGGAGGCAAGCACTTCAGTCTGGTTGATGAACTCTGACCTCTGTGCAGGGTGGCCTAGAGGTTGTCTGACAGACTCTAAAAACTTTTTTTCCTTCCTATTTGAATTTTTTTCCGGCAGAAAAATCTCTTCATCTGAAATTAGGTGCACTTTTGTTTATGAAAAGTACCACATTTCAAATTATGTAACAGCAGTGGCAGGAGAGCCAAACAAAATGGATCATCAAAGCTTCTATCAGACTGAAGATGGAACACATCAAAGATTAACCAACACATTGTCTTCTATTTTCTCTTTTGCACAGACACAGTACGACAGAAGAACCCGGCAACACCGGTTCACAACACCAACTATCATTGTTCATCGGTATTACATACGATATTCATTTCACTGTTACACATTTTTATTCATGGCTACACCCACAGAGCACATATTCAGTTCATGCTGCACCCTCCTTGGCTCGATCTGACACCAACCGAGGCGGGTGAGCCACTGGTTCTCTCCTTATTGCCCATCTACATGTTCGGCTTCATCTTGAGCCGCGACGCCAGCTTCTGCCCGAGGGACGCGTCACACTGCAAACAGCATTGGTAAAAGCATGGTTGGTTTCAGTGTGTTTCAATAATCCCAGATACATGTAACAGTAGAGCAGTGTGCATGGTCAACTGAAAATAAAGAACAAAAGTGTACCTGTGACCAGTATGACACCCAGATGCCCTGGATTTCATGGGTTACGCGAGCATCAGTGAGCGCATCAACCCACCGCTGGAGGAAACGGTCTTGCCTGCGTGTTCATATAAGAAACAGTTCGGTTAGCAACGCTGCTTGATTTCTTCTATGTGCCTAAAGACTTGAAACAAATCAAACTGAGTTTGGGATGGAACCTGGCAGGGTCGAAGGAACGGTATCTCTCGCCAGCCTGCTTGAAATTGTTCTCTTTCTCGATAATACACCGCAGTTCCAAAATTACAAATGTAGCAAACAATTTGTCAAAACACATGGTAGGAGTTTAATTCACAGAGTATTTTAGTCATCATTAGCAAATAGCAATAAATAATAACTGGAAACAGTTTGGCTACATGCAAAGGGACTGGCAGTAGTACGAATAGAATTAGAATTCTAACATTCCAATTTGCATACCTTTTCCCGGCAGCCAGACAGAACACGAGGAGGAATAGGGTACTGTTCAGCATGACGAGTAGAATCAAACCTTGAAGGGAAGTAGTTCACCTGAAAATCAAGCCAAATATATGTAACTGCAGTGAACTTGAAACATAACTTAACTATACATTATTTCTGTCAATCGGAGGAAATACTGCATCATGCAAGCAGAAGGGGATGCAAAAGTTTTAAAGAACAATGTACCTCCTCATCCCTGTGCATGAAATTCATTAAGCCACCATGATGGTTGTTGTGGTGAGCACATTTCGGGGCATTCACAGGAAGCATCAAGTAGTTTGGACCGAGACGGTGCCTTTGGGTATCAGCATAGGAGAAAATCCTTGTCTGGAGCAGCTTATCATCAGAGTAGTGGATTCCAGGGACAGTGACTGCTGGGCAGAAAGCAAGCTGTTCGTTTTCTGCGAAGAAATTATCGATGTTCTTGTTCAGGACCATCCGTCCAACTGGTTGCAGTGGGATGATATCCTCTGGCCAGGTCTTGGTGACATCAAGAGGGTCAAAGTCAAATCTATCCTCATGATCAGCATCAATGGTCTGAATGAAGAGCTTCCATTCTGGGTAATTCCCAGCTGCAATAGCATCAGTCAGGTCCTTTGTGGCATGGGTGTGGCAGGTGCCTCCAACAGTAACGGCTTCATCATCTAAGAGGCACTTGACACCACATGTAGGCTTCCAATGGAACTTAACAAAGTGAGCCTTTCCATCCCTGCTGATCAAGGTGTAGGTGTTGACACCAAAACCGTCCATGTGCCTGTAGTTGAGTGGGATGCCAACATCATCAGAGGAAGGTGAACATGTGCAGACTCTCCGGGTGGTGCGAGAAGAAGTCAACTATTCTCCAGTTCTCCTGCATGTTGGTCCTACCTACATCCAGTTAGTGCTAAGAGCTAATCTACAGAAGAGTAACGGACCACCAGATAGTCCAGACAGATCACTATCTAGGAGCCTCCAATCGTCTCACATGATCGGATAATCACTATGACTGGATCGCGACAAGCCGTGTGAAAAAGGTATTGCTTCTTATCTTCCCCATTGATTGAGCAATCCTATGGCATGGCAGTGACTGACGAAAATATCAAGCGTCTTATGTTTGCAACAAAAGTTTTGTCAGGCTGGACCATGGAACACGGCATGTTGTGAAGCTACAAGGAGTGCCCACAGCATTCAACCAAGTGCTTACAGAAACCAAACCTAATCCGGTAGGTGAATATATCGAATACTAGTAGATGTAAATGGCATGTGAATTGACAGCAGATCCGAGACAATCGAGCCGAATAGCCCCTGAATCTGTGCACCGTATGCTTGAATTATTTTTTATTATCAATAACTGTAAGATTTTTCCTTGGACAAATTTAATTTGCATTGCTGACAATGCTGCATGGGCAGTACGTTTGTAAGTAATGGCTGGGTGTTGTTATCTACCATTTTCTTCTCAAGTAAAGAAAGATGGTAGTACGAACTAAGAAAATAATACGAGCACTGAAAAGAAGAACTAGTTTCTCTGCTATTCCTGCCAAAAATAAGCATTTATTGGATACATTCTTTTCTCAACTCGGCTGGCCACCAACATTCTTTTCTCAGTTTATTTTTAGTTTTCATTTTTTTATTTTAGACTTTACATGTGCACCTATTGCACAACCTGCAAATTATTAGATTTTGAGCCTTAGAGTAGTAAAATAGAGTAATATTAGCAAAATTAAAAAAATAAAAAGACTAATAAAAGAAAAGAAAAAATATTAGGTAAAGAAAAAAAGTTTGTTTATTTTTAGTTTCTATACTTTACATGTGCACCTGTTGCACAACCTGCAAAATATTAATATATGAGCCTTAGAGTAGTAAGAAGGAAAAAAATATTAGGAAAATAAAAATTAAAAAGAGTAATAAGAAAAGGAAAAAACCCTCCGTAGTTTATTTTAGACTTTACATGTGCACATGTTGCACAACCTGCAAAATATGAAAGAAAAGTAATAAATATTAGGAAAAAAAAGACTGACAATGGCACCGTACTTCCAACCCCCTGCACCTCCAGGGGAGAGACCTAGGGTCACAGGCCGCCGGGACAGGCCCGGCCAGAAGTGCGTAGCGACTGCTTTCGCCTCGGCTGAGCTGATGAATCAGCTCTGCTTCCTCGGCGATGGAAACGTCGGCACCTGGGCTATTTAAGCCGCGTAAAATGTTTCTAGCCAAGCGATGTGGTGCTAAACGTTTCCAGGGGCTGCGTTAGTTTATTCCCAGACTGGGCCGTCGCGTTCGTCCGCTGGCCCACGACCTTAGCCAACGCGCTAGTGAGCCGCGACAGCCGAAATTGTTTCGGAGGACGGCGCTCAGTGGGCTCGGTATCCAGGCCATCGTTGGTTGTATTGGCTGGTGTTAAATTCGCAGGCTGGCCCACTGGCCCCGCAAGAAAGACCAGGACGCGGTTCCTCAAAAAAATAAAATAAAAATGACCAGGACGCCGTACGAGATAGGACCGTAGGAGGCATGCCACGGCACAGGTATGTACCATGGCTGTGTCACGGTGCAGAGTTTCAGTCATCAATTATGAATGACACACTGCCTAATTCACTCGTCTAGGCTAATGAGGGCATGTACAAAGGTTTAGACGGCTGCTGTCTTTTTTTTTCTTTTTTTTCATGGTAATACGTGTCTCATTTATAAAATAAAGATCCGGTTACAAGGCACGTAAGCACCGACATTACAAGGCTGAAAAAATAGGATAATCATATGCAAAATATCAGCGCATGTTTCTCTCCTCCGACACCACCGAAGTGGCCACCAAAGGGAAAGAAAACAGATCACCTCTTCACCCGAGCTCGACGCGGCTCCATCGCTGATCAGCAGCTTTACGGACCTCGAAAGTAGTTTATCAGAAGCAAAACCATTGCCGTTGAAAGAATCGGACCAGGGCAACATGTCCCCGGACACGCCATCGAACTCTAGATCTGACACCCCAGCACGACAACGACGTCGAAGGAGGAAACCAGAACTATCAGCCACCAACCACAAACCCAGCACGGGATGCACCATCTTCCAGCTGTCACTTGCGCAGACAGCCGTCTGCGCGTACTCCTGGATGACAAAACCTCTCTGCTCCACCATGACGTCGGAGACAACGCCACAGCAACGGGGACAGAGCGGAAGGAGAGACACACCTGATGGACTCGCCGTCGCTACCTCGCCGACATCATCCATGAACCCTAACATAACCGATCCGAAGGATAGGCAATCACACGATGCCATCAACTCCGAGACGCCACCATGAACGACACTGCCGGTGTGGGAGTGAAGCTGAGGCAGACTTATTCGTCTGGGCGCCGCTCCCACCACCCCAACGGCGCACCACGATCTACAAATCCAAAACCTAACTACAGAGCGGAGGAACGGGGTGTTGGGGAACGTAGTAATTTCAAAAATTTCCTACACACACAGGATCATGGTGATGCATAGCAACAAGAGGGGAGAGTGTCGTCCACGTACCCTCGTAGACTGTTAAGCGGAAGCGTTAGCACAACGCGGTTGATGTAGTCGTACGTCTTCATGATCCGACCGATCCAAGTAACGAACGCATGACACCTCCGAGTTCAGCACACGTTCAGCTCGATGACATCCCTCGAACTCCGATCCAGCCGAGCTTTGAGGGAGAGTTCCGTCAGCACGGCGTGGTGACGATGATGATGTTCTACCGACGCAGGGCTTCGCCTAAACACCCCTATGATATTATCAAGGTGGACTATGATGGAGGGGGGCATCGCACACGGCTAAGAGATCCAAGAGATCAATTGTTGTGTCTCTGGGATGCCCCCCTGCCCCCGTATATAAAGGAACAAGGGAGGCAGAGGCGGCCGGCTAGGAGGAAGCGCGCCAGGAGGAGGGAGAGAGGAAGGAAAGGGGGGCGCCGCCCCCCTCCTTGTCCAATTCAGACTAGAGGGGGAGGGGGGCGCGGCCTGCCCTGGCCGCCCCTTCTCTTCTTCACTAAGGCCCATGTAGGCCCATTAAACCCCTGGGGATTCCGGTAACCCCCGGTACTCCGATAAAATCTTAAAGTTTAAACATGATGCAAACAAGGAGAGCTATCCTAGTGTATTGTCAAACTAGGGATGTCACAATTTTTAAACCCAGACGGAGGTACTCCCTCCGTCCCATAATGTAAGACGTTTTTCGACACTAGTCTTACATTATGTGATGGAGGGAGTAGTATTTAACAAAAATAAAACTAATTACATAGAATAAAATGAAATGCAGTTTCAACGAAAGAAAAGGGCATACTTTTTTAGGGTGGTAAAGCCATACGGGACAAGTATTTCTCAGAACTGTTTTTTGAGAATGTAAGTATTTCTCAGATGGGCTGAGCTTCCGTCTATGCATCTCACTCGCTCAGCTCCGTTCGATTTGCATGAAACTTTACAGGCTTGCTTTCCTTGAAAAAATAAGCTGTGATGCGTGCTAATTTTTTTAAATAATATATTTTTTAATTAATTTTCACAAATATTACACCGAAAAATTAATTTACAAAAATAATATACCGTCAGCCCGCAGCAGGCCGACTGGTAGCCTAAATTATTTTTTCAGCATAATATTTTTGCAAATTAATAAAAAAAATGTATTACTTAAAAAAATTAGCGTGATGCGTTCGGTTCAAAGGGTCATTCCTCACTCCTCCCTGCAGTCCGATGGCTGTAGAGGTCGTTCTGCCTGTGCAAGGTAGCCTAGAGGTTGTCTGACGTACTACACAATTTTTTTTTTGTTTCTAAAAAAAAGCACACACGCACAATCTTTTTTTCTAAAAAATCTTTGTTTTGCTTCCTTGATGACTTTTTTAGCTGCAGAAAATCTCCAGATCTAGTAAAAGGGAGCGTCTAGGAGCGGCCGGCTGCTCCCTAGCGT